GTGCCGACAATCGACTTATTAATTATCGATCACTCCCTCTTTCTCTCTCTCTCTCTCTCTCTCTCTCTCTCTCGGTGTCCTCGATATCGTAGATGCGCAGAAAACAGATTTTAATCGTCCTAGGCTTTTCACGGCCCGCTGTGTGCGAAAATTTATGCGCGAGCCATATTTATTTCTCTATGCATATTTATTCGATGAATTTCATAACTTAATCGCGCGCAAATTGCAATTTTTCACGGCTCCGCGCGTATAGGTCTCGCCAACTTGATGGCACTCGGTGCCTTATAACAAAATATCCTGATGCACAAAGTACAAAGTGTAATGACGTTCCCAAGAATAGTACCGCTTCAAACCCCATTTCGCTCGCTCGCGTATAAAGGTGTAGTATTAAAAATTTACCCGATCATCCGCATTTCGTGATTAATTCTCCGAGTGGAATATTGACGGAAACATTTGCTACTTAACTCGGATCGCCGCTTAATGGCTTAAATAACGCTCTCTCTCTCTCTCTCTCTCTCTCGACGCCGCGGTGATACCTTTCGATTTGCGCGGGCATTTGACGCGCGAATCGTTTGTTTAATTAGGGCGGGAACGATGCGGACCTGTGTGCGGGAACGGTGTGTACCTGTGTGTAGCGGCACGCCTGTCCCGCTGCTATATTGATACGCAAGATATATCTCGGGTTTATAGGGTTATTAAGGACTTCATCCGTGTCTCATGGCGGGATTACTACGTTATTATCCTTCGGTAAGTGGCAGCCAGGTCGGTCGGTTGGCTGGTCGACCCCTTGCGAGGAAGACCAAACATCGCCTCCTCCTTACACGCTCCCTCGAGCCACCGATGAAACTAGTAAGACATCTCCGCCCCACCGATCCGTGGCCGCGCGCGGGATCCCGGTTGTGCGCATCTGACCCTCGTAATTAATTTATAACCGCCGTTCTTGCCGCGATACCGCTCGAGCGGGGGATAACTGATCTGGCGGCGCGGAAACGCTCGAGCATCCGGCCGCCAATCACGACTCGCGTCGGCGATCCCGTCGGGGTTGAAAATCCCGCGTTTCAGAACCGTACGTTACGGAAGTGAAGAATCCGCGAAAAAATGCCGTCGGTCGCGCGCGATCGTCACGAGCTGAATTCGCAATCGCGCGATCGCCGTCTCTCATATCCCGTCGCATTCCTCCGATGCCTCCTGCGCTTCCGTTCGGCGTACTTGTTACGGGTCGACGCGGAAGCGAGAATCGAGCCGGAGGCGCCCGCTCGTTCGCAACGAGACATAGGAATCCATAGATCGCGGGGCTAACAATCAGCCGTAAATTATGGTCTCAATATCCATTGTGTACCCTCCTCGGTCTCGAGCGAGCCTAACCCCAAAGTCTCAGGCCAAGACTACCCACCCCAGCGCCGGCTGGCTCTCTCGCGGCGCGACTGAACCAAGAGATATGTATATTAATGGGGCAATCTTACATAGTTTTGTTTACCTTGCCATTCTCCCAGTACGTATACAATTACTATCCCCGGTCCCTACGGTGCGTCGGCACAAGGGCCGCTTTCCCAACCCTCTCCTCGACCTCCTCGGACTACAGCAAGTCTCCGACCTAACTAGTTTCCGCCGACGTCACTATCGCGCTCGACTGCGAACTTGCCGTGCCTGCCCGGAGCGAAACGACGAATTTCGCGCCGGCGAATTTCCGGAAATCTCCGCTCTGTTTGCTTTCTCCGTTTTTCTCCCTCCCCCCCGCCGCCAATATTACCGTCGCTCAAATCTCTACGTTCACATATTTTCCACACAGACGTCTTTTAATGCGGACCTCGCCGTGTGCGACGTGTGCGACGTGTATGTAAGCTCCCTATATGTGTGAAATCGGACTGAAGGAGGTTGTAAGACGAAACAAGTTTGATAAAAATTCCGTGAAACTTGCACTATATATATATATGTATATATATATATGTATATTAAAATATTATCTAACTGCTCGGGCGATTAGGAAAAAATTGACTATATACATATGTGCATGTATTTAAATACTTGGATAAATTCTAACGATCAACTTACGCGGTGAACATTTCTTTAGTTAGAATGCGACGTGTGTAAATCGGTCGCAGAGCTCGTTCGGAGAGCTCAACGAGCAGAAGGAGAGAAAAAAATCGCGTTTGACAGCGGGAGCGCATTAATAATACAGCTTTGCACTATTACGAGTCAATAAGATGTCAGCTTAATAATATTCGCTCTCCGGTGTGCTCGCCGCGCCTCTCCAAGAGGCGTTGATTTAAAAACGATGCGACTTCCTCTCTCTCTCTCTCTCTCTCTCGCGCGCGCGCGCACGGCGCAAGACCGATCTCTGTCGGAACGCTCGTTCGGTGTCCCGCGTAGGGGTGGTGTCGTCGAGATTTAGCGATGCGCGTCAACGCGTCGCAATATGTCCAAGCCGCGCTTACGGCGACGATCGAGGTCGAAGGATGCTATTTTTAAAAACTACACCGGTTCATGCGGCGATATTCCGATGCGAGAGAGAGAGAGAGAGAGAGAGAGAGCGTATCCGATAAAAACGAATTCCGTTCTTGAAGGGCTCAAACGCCGCCCCGATGAAAATCCATTCTACGGCGCGCCGGCTTTCAGCAAAGAAAATATTGTCCGCGGCGCGGGGAGGGGCCGGGAGGGGAGGGAGTGGCCGGTACGATCGCGGCAGAGAGCGGCACTTTTCACCTTCGCTCTTCCACCCCCCGGGTTTTTAATTCCGTGCGTGGCACATGGCGCGCGCGCGCGCGTGGCCGGCTTTGTAGCGGAATGTACATTTCTCCCGCTGAACAACCTCATTTGTGTAATCCCCGAAGCTTCGACAACAAACTGTCTGCGGCATTGGAACTGGGCTGGAGGTGCACGGGGGTGTGAGCACGACATTAACGTACTTTGTAGTTCAGCTCTCTGCGGCAGTCGTCCTTCTCCCTCTTCTCCCTCGCCCCTCCCTCCTCCCGCGCTCCTCCTTTCCGTTTTCCCACTCCACGCGCGCCCCCGCTACCCTTTGCCACCAAGGTTCCGTCGTCCTGGATGAAATTGCGATTGTAATAGCAATTATCTTATTTCTACTATTGCTTCTTTGTACTTCGATTTGCGACATACGGACTTGGTGCTGATACGAGGGGCGGGAAAGGTCGCCGCCGCCGCCGGGGCGCAAGTGGAAAGGGGGTGGTTCGCGAATGGAATTAAACGTTCGCGGGATAGCTGGAAGGACTGTGACGCAATTTAAGTCGCGCGGCGTTTGCCGCGGAACGATGGCTCTTTTTCAGTCCAACATTACGCGCAATAGTTATAACGCTTTTTTGGTATTGTTGCGCTTTTCGTTTATACTTTTTCATGCGCGCCGCTCGCGCTTTTAATACGCGTTGCATTTGAAAGGTCGCTCGGCACACGCGGGACGAGGAGGATCCTACTACTACCCGCGGCTTTTTATTGGCCGCACAAGGGGGTTGCGTGATGGGAGGGAAAATATCGAGAGAGAAACTAATTATGTCCTTTAATTATATGTGAGTTTTTGCCGAGCGGTTTTTCACTTTACACACCGCAGGTTGAGGAAGATCTCCGCGCACGTTCCGCATGGTGAAGATGTTGTAATCTTTACGCCACGGTGGCGATTGTCATTTCGGCGCGTTCGCGTCGACGTGAAAAAACGAATCTCTCCCGGTCTATTTTCAGGAGGTGTACGCGCGGCTTTTCTTTTTCATCTTGCTTGTGATAAACTCCGTCATACCGCTCGGAATGAAATTCAACGTTCGACTCCCCGGATTGAAACGACTTTCAGGAAACGCCGCCATCGAGATATATCGAGGGACGGCACGTTTACGCCGCGAAACAATAACATCCCGAGGCGGCTCCTTAAATCTCAATGGTCGCGCTTTCCCCAACTCTCCGTCGGATGCGCCCGTGCGTTGCAAGGTGCTCAGTGACAAACTGAGGTCGAGGGCGAATCGCCGGACGCAAAAGCGAAAAGTCTGCATTGCGACGTCGAACGGAGGAGGGCGGTCGACGACGAGAGATTGACTGAAGGCTGGCCGCACGCGGGGGTGGCTCGCTCGTAGGGGTTGTCGGCACGACGCTGCGTCACGCGGTTCGAGTCGGAGAAACGGTCTCAGCTCGCGCGCCGCTCGCCGGCCTGAAATTCGCCCGAAGTAATCAATATTATAGCTCGCGAAGATATATGCGGGAGGATGTGGGCAAACAGTGTACACACACGCGCATTGTTACACGGCCGCGCGCGCCCATCGTCGGGGCCGAGGAGAGAGAGATGGACGACGGTGTAAGGAGGGAGGTGGCAGAGTTGCCGAGCTAGGTAGCTGCCAGGGGGGGGCCGGGAGGACGGGAGGTGATGAAGAAGGGGCTGAAGGGTGCCACGGGGCTCGCAGAGCGGCCAGCGGGGTTGGCGAGCGCGGGAAGGGCTCGAACGGAGAAAGGAAAGGGGTGGACAGCCGGACAAACAAAACCCTTGCTGCTTCATTTCTGCCCGTCTGGCCAGACACCGACCCTTTATACGCGCACGCTTCCGTCCTGCGCTCTCTCTCCCCCCTCCCTCTCTTTATCCATCCCAGGCCGACTGGGTGGACCCGCTCTCGCACACATTCGCCGAGACTCGTCGACTCGGGACTTTCGGTACTTTTCGAATTCGTTAATTAACGCCGCCCCGAGTCGAAGGACATTCGCAACGCCGTCGAATGGAAGCGATATGAGTCTCAGACGCGCGCGTATTGTTCTCGGCCGACGGAATGAATGTTGTCGTCGCGAACATCGCGAGGGAGGGCCGTCCGATATATGTATTTTCTCCACATTTTCTTGTTTTTTTTTTTCCTTTCGTTCGCGCGCACACCCACGCTCGTTTCGTGCGTGGGTGCGAGCGATTCCCGCTGCTCTTTTTGTAACTTCCCAACGATGTCGGGGGTGATTTCATTCCCGGTTGATATTTTCCTCCGATTGCATGCTCACGCAAACCGAATTGTCCGATTCTGTTTCAGGTCAGTGGTGTATACTTCCCCGGCTTCTGAGACACAGTGACGTGGCTTGTTGATGTGAGTTTAAGCACTTTTAGTAGTTGTCGTTGCCATTTAAATCTAAGAGGTGCCGCAAGTGACTCGCGGGACACTGTCGCTCATATTCTCGTTAAACATTAAACCGTCTCGACTCTCGCGAGAGTATGTTACGTCGGAAGAAATTCCCACTCTTCTCGCCGATCCGATTTGTCAAATCGCGTCGTCGTTCTCCCAGACAAACAGTTTAAGCGCGGACGGATTAGTTAAACGGCGCTCGATTTGCTTACCCGAGCGGAGCGGCGGCGCAGCTTTCGGCTGAAACTCGCTTTCCGATCGGCGTCGCGACTCCCTCGGAATGTTTAAATAACAAATATTAAAACTTTCGGCTCGAGACGCTTCGACCGAAAGTTCTTCCGGCCTTCGTAAATTCGCGATCGGAGAGAGATCACCCTTCATACGCGACGACCCTAAAACGTTATGGCTGTTGACGACGAGCGTTGTCAAAATTTTGGCGTCGTAGACGCCCCCCCGATGCATATAAGGAACCGCGATTTCGGCGAGAGAGCTGCCGGGGGTGGGATACCGGAGGATGCCGCGCGAATATTCGGCTGACATAATACTTCTTAAGTCGTAAACCTCCCTTGCTTCTTGGCTGAACGGCATTCCTGAACTTTCGTATCGACAGTCGTACAACAAACACGATTATCGATGTCTCGTTTGTCCCCTAAAGCGAAGGGGAACAGGACTCGCCCTCGATCCCACGTGTTCCTCCTTTCAACCCTCTCCCTATCTGCTCCCGGCGTATTTTACGCCGTCGTTTTCCCAAGGATCCTTTTCCCGTCAGGACCTTTAGAATTATCGCTCTCGCGTCGAATCGCGACGACGCAGCTCGCCTTGCGACAAATCGTTGAGAAGGAAACGGGACTTTGTCTAAGGATATTCTGTTTGCGCGACCGATACATTTCACTTTTATTTTATTCACTTCATTTTATTCATTTTATTCCCACAACGTCGTTTACTTTATCTCGTTTCATTTGCAATTGTAATATTTTCTTATCGGTCTTATCAGAATTATACCGATCACAACTTATTTATCCCGACAGACGTGCACGCTCGATTATCATCTTACGCGCGAAATCAGACTGAAACTCCCTCTTTTCTTTTCACCACTTGTTTCGTATGGTGTGCGATACGCCGCTTGGTTTTTAGGTGTTTGCGGAGGCGGCGGTTAATCCGAGGTGTAGTAGTCGGCTTGCCATCCCGAATGGGCTCGGACCGCGTTCATTGGCTACTTACTCGCGCGGTACATTAGTATTCCGTGCTAATTAAAACGTAACTGAAATTGCGAAACGGCTCGCGTTATCAGCGGCGTAACGCGGACGGTCGGTGCGGCCGGAAGTTAGCCCGTTACGAGGGACGCTGCGTATACTTTTTCCTGCTTGGATCTGAATAGAGGGGGATGTCTGATTGTTCTAGAAAAGCAGATGCGCCCGCCGACTCGCGCTGGCTCTCCTACACAAAAGACGTTTCCGCCAATTAATATTCGCCGACTCATTCTTCGACACCGTTAACCCCCTGACGCGCATAGACTCGGCTGGGAAAAATAACACATTTCACAGACGTGGGGGGAAAATTTTGCGAAACACGCGATCGTGAAAATCCCCCCTGATAAATACGCCGGCGTGCGAGTGGATTTAATCAGGTCTCAAGTACGTGTCATTTTTATTCAATTACTCTCGATTGCACGGAAAAACGGCGGGCGGAATAATTAAAAGCGACAGCGAGGGGACTATTTTTGCGCGCGGGCGACGTTTGAGTAATTACGCGGTGATACTTATATTCGGTACACAATAAACCCGTGCGCGCTTTAATTCAATGTACCGTGAAATAGTTCGGCCGCTTGCTTGTTGCAATTAATTAAGAAGCCGAGGCCGGTCTCGCTAACGTTAAACGCATTCCCGATATTGCTAAGATACTAATTATTTGCTGCGCTGCGGGAGGAGGGTTAGAGGAAGGGGTTGCTTTATCCTCTCGTACACGGACGCGGCGCGTTCCCTGCCTGCCAGCTTTCCTGCCCGGCCGCGTACTAACCGCGCAGAGGGTAGTTTCGGATGAACGCTCGGGATATTGCTTGCGTTATTGAGCGTGTTAATTGATATTTCTTTCGTTCGAATTTATTTTTAAAAGCGCAGAGAGAGGGAGAGGGCATGCTCGACCGGGAGCCTCCGGGAAATTTGCGTTTCCCTGAAACTGATAATAATATATATACCCTCGATATATCATTATACCTTTGTCCTTTGTGTTCTCGCAGTGTGACGCCCAGTGCTGACGACAATTAACATTTTTACGTTATTTATTCACTTTTGTAGCTCGCGCGATCGCGCGGCTGAAAATAATTCGCGCGCTCCGCGCGTACTCTCTCTCCTTTGTGTTAATTATAAATAAATATTTCACACAACCGTGAAAAAAAGCTCCGAGCCGCCGCGGTGGTATTGCAACAATTCTCTTCCCTGAACCGACGACTCTCCCTTTCTCCCCCGCTGTCCGTATAATTTACTTCCTTATGTACACTTGTATTATTTATTCGATCGGCCTGCATTATTGCGTCTAATTTCCCGCGTGTTTTCTCTCGCACAAATAAGGAGGGATCCAATGCTCAGAATACTTTTTAGAAAAATATCGACCGTTTGTTTTGCAGTATACTGCGAAATACTGTTCCCGAAATGACTCTCGCTGGCATCATTCGGCGGGAGTGCGTCGCGTCTATTTCACGAACATTTGCCTGGTTCGCAAAAGGTCGATTCGATACTTCTGTATACTTTTGTATAATGTAGATAGGCTATATCTCGATAGACTCGGGTGAAAATTTCGCGACGAAGTTGATGTCCGCCACGAGTGGCCGCAGACCAGCTGCGATAATAAAATTCATCACGACGGTAACGAATTAATCGATTGCGCGGGAGCGACTCGAACGTTCGGGGTAAAGAGACCCGGCTGATCTCTGCGACCAACGTCTGTTTTAACGAAAACGCGCGAGAGCAGCAGTAATAAATACCATTATCGGACGCTGTGCGCGAGATTTGCTCACAGGCGCGCTCCGACGACGCGAATGCACCGTCTATTTAATTTCTCGGCAAACAATAGGACGATTACGCGCCGATTGTATCGTGTCAGAGGGCAGAGGCGCAGTCTCCGGGAATCTCGCGATCGTTCTATCCTTCTATTAGCCGCAATAAAAGTAACGAGCGATCTTGATTGCAAATCAAAGGCAAATTTCACGTTGTTACGCCGCATTACGATGTGGCGTCGAGACGTTGAGAAATCCCCGGGCGCAAAGTACAGCGATCGCCGCGAGTAATCGCGCGGCGACAAGGCCGCTAATCGTCTAGTCGAGAGTCTCACGACGAAATAATCGAAGCGAGGTGCGAGGGGGGAATATCCTTGACGTTGAGGAAGACATCGAGCGAACGTCGGGTGCGTGTAGCCGCGCGAGGTAATACCGTCTATATATAAAGAGGCGACCCATCGCGCTGCCCGGTAATAGAAAACGATTTGTCAGGCCGCTTTTACATTTCCACGCAGCGGGTTTCACATCCGATAGCCCGTTTTATCCCACGGGAGCCCCGTCCCTCCTGCCCTGTCGTCTTACACCCTTACGTCCCGGCCAACAAGTCGAGGGAATCACGAGGGCGCCCCCTTTTCAAGCCCCGCGACGACGTGAGTGCGTGTCCGAGCGCGTCCACGGCCGTCCGATTTCGCTTTTCTTGCCTAGGAAGCCGGGCAAGGAGATAGGGAATCTTGTAAAATGGCCCGATGAAAGACAAATATTACCGGGGATCACCGGCCGAGAGATGCGATTTATTTTGCGGGATTCCCCGCGCGCGCGTTCGACGAGACGGGTCGCGAAGAGAAGTTGATCCGCGGCTGATGCGCAGATCCGTTTGCGGGCGTGATTACAATACATTTTGTACTTGTGTTAAAATCGCTCCTTGTTGGCATTTTTCCGTAAAAATTGTTAACACACCCGTGCGCTAATTTATCATGATTACGCTCGGGTTGTCTCAATATTTCACGTCGCGTCTCGATATTCAACATGTGTGAGTGTTAAAGTAGCGCTTGTAATCGTTAAAGTAACACATTCTTTATATATACAGTGTCTATTGGCATAGTGTAGATATATAATTTTGTATCAATTTTTGGCATAATATTTGTGTTACTTTTCAATATATTCAGCTTGTGTCGAATTAATTTTCGAGCGGGTGAAGCGGGCATGTGGGACACGTGAAATTCGTTAAATTTAACACAAATTTTTCACTATAAACTCACTGTGTACTTGAGACAGGCGGTTATTTCAGCGGGGATTCTGCGCGATCGATCGCGCGATGACAAGTCTCGCCGAGACGCGATTCTCCTCCTCCGTCGCTGGAACTACCGTGACGGGGAAATCTATTACGGAGTGTAACGCGATTTTCGAAACGCGAGCGAAGAGGTATTACACGCCGACGTGTAATACGCTCATGATTCCGCGGCCGCGAATAAAGATCCGGCTGCGATTCATTGCGCGGGAACGCACGCGTATTCAGAAAATCGGGGTGCATATTTCCCGGGCTGCATCCCCGGTGGAAAAAAACCAAAAGGACAAAGGATTCGGGCGAAATCGCGGCGAAAGAGGGGAAAAAAGGCGAAAGCGCATCCGCGCGCGCCGGCGGAAAATTATAATTACGATCCGTGAGGCGCTTTCGCCGTCGTATAAAAACATAAAACCGCGCCGTGTCGCGTTCTATGCGCGCGCGCGCGGTAGGGGCGACTGTTAATTGAAAACTACCGAAAAGCACAATTGCGCGAGAATTATATCTATTCATTAGCCGGATGGCGTTGCCCGGCCGCTTGGCCGAACCGAAAAACTTTTCCTCGGCCAGCCGCTTTTTTCCCACCCCCTCGGCTCGCTCGCCGACCCCCGCGATCCGGCCGGTCGCGTGTGGCGTAATTATGTAACATAAATACAATCCCTGCCGCGACGTAATTTTTGCGGTATAAGC